GAAGCTCAGGGTTATCCTCAGTATCCGTTTCATCTGGGCTCTCAAGTTAGGGCTAACTCCACAATTCCCAGAGTTACCTGCCCAACAATCCCCAGCCCCCTTTTCAGAAAAAAAAAAATAGTACTCAGCGCCCTCCTATGCAGTGAGAACATAGATCTGTTTGTACTACGGCCCGTGGCCCTAGGGGGTGGTACCACTCACTGTGGAAACACTGCTGGGCCCTGTGTCTGCCCAGTCCACCATCTTGCCAGAAGCCCCCCTGCAGAGGGCTCTTCAGCACGCTCACCCCTACGGCCTGCACGACACCACTAGGTCCATCTAAGGATGGCCAAGCTGCAGCAGCCCCCCATTCTTCAGGTCAGACGGACTGGCTCCCCAGGGCTGTGGGGTGGAGTGGAGTGGGGCTCAGCTTGAGCTCAGTTGCCCCATCGCCTCCTCCCCGCTCCGTGGCTCAGTGCAAACCGCATCCGCTGACTGAGGCCCTGCAGAGACCTCCCTCCGCAGTTGCCGAACAGTTACTGAATAATGCTCACCAGAGACGACTCTGGAAGCCTTCTGAGCTCCCGGAAAGATTTGTGGAATCCCCCAGGGGCCGCTCAGCCCAGTCCCGTAGGGGCCATGTGAGTCAGAATCAATTCCATGACAGCGTGACAGCGAATGCTCTTTAGCTTTGGGGGGTTTCTTTTGACTTGAAATTGTACCCTGAAGCACCTCAGCCAGCTTCAGGTTTCAGTCCGTACCGCACGGGATTTGAATTGCTGGAAGGTGGTCAGCTCCTCCCAGGATGCCTACGAGGACCCTGCCATTTGCCTTCTGCAAGGACAAGTCTGTGCCTTTTGTTCCCTGTGCACTATAAGTCCATTCAGCGCCAACTTCAGTGGCCATCGACACTCTCAGGAGGGGTGCCTATTGCTGCTGTCGGGTGGGCCCCCGACTCACAAGGCTTTAGCCAATACACAGGGCAGGAAGCCCTGCCTGGTCCTGCACCATCCCCACAAGGGACTGCAGGTCTAACAGTGCTTGTCTGCAGCATTCCCGTGAACAGTTTTCCAAAGTAAATCCCTAAGACAGTGGTTCTCAACCTGTGGGTCGCAACCCCTTTGGGGGTCGAATGACCCCGTTACAGGGGTCACCCTATTCATAACAGTTGCCAAATGACTGATATGAAATAGCGATGACAATAATGTTATGGTTGGGGGGGTCACCACACATGAGGAGCTGTATTAAAGGGTCGAGGCATTAGGAAGGTTGAGAACCACAGCCCTACGTCGTTCTTCCTAGGATGAATATTACTATCTCATTAAACCTAACTTTTAAAATAGCACCTGGAGCTTGTCAAGCACAGATGCCAGGGCCCCGCTCCAGAGATGCTGAGCCATTCCATCTGTGGTGAACTTGAACTTGGCTTCTTAACAAGCTCTCAGGGGGGCTGTGAAGCTGCGGACTCCCAGACCACACTTTGAGGGTAGCAGCTACAAGCCCTGATAGGGGACTCCTTGTCACTGCTTGGCAGTAATTGTTTGACCTTGTGTTGAACTTATCAAGGGTCTATTTGTATGTCTAAATCCCCTTCGACACGCTGGCCCCTTGCCCCTTCCTCCCTGTGTGTGTTTGCTCCTCGGTGAGTTTAGTGACCACAGAGACACCCCTGGGAACTGCAGCAGGTCCTCTCTAGTCTCACTTTAGCACCCCTGGCCCCCCCCTCTTCATGAGGGACAGCACCGGGCTCTCACTGGTAACTATAAATTCCCAAGGTAGTCGGACCACACTTCCCAAAAGCTGCTGCTTGACAGGGAATTGGACAGCCCTGGGCCAGCCTAGCCCGGCAAGCAAAAGCAGCCATCCTTAAGGACTGAAGGACACCCTGGGACTTTTGGTTACAAGTCACTGAAGGCGTGGGCCAGAGGAGATTGTGTTCTGCGGTAGTCTTATCAGAGGTGGGGTTGGATTAGTACCTGGGAATCGTCAGTGGTGATACTAGAAGAGCTCCCTCCTCCAAAAATCCAAGTTCATGGCCATCGAGTCCATGCCAACTCATCGTGACCCTGCAGGACAGGGTAGCATTGCTCAGTGGGTTTCTGGGACTGTGACTCTTCATGGAAGGAGAGAGCCCCATCTCTCTCCCTCCCAGGGCTGGCCACGTTCTTCCTTTGGTGTCCTCAGCCCAGAGTGTAACCACTGTGCCACCAGGACTCCTGTGAGAAGTGCTAACGTGTAGCAATGTGTTGAGTCCCGCACCTGACAAGCTTGGCCTCCTTTAAGGCTTTGAACCCCCCATCGTTGTTGTTGGCTGCCACTGAGTTAGCCCAGCCCATCTCTCAGTAGGATGAGCCCATTGCGATCCATCGGGTGTGCTCACTGGCTGGTGTTCCAAGGTAGATTCCCAGGCCTTTCTTCCTGGCCTGTCTTGGTTTGTTGGCTCCACTGACGGCTGTTCAGCCTCACAGCAGTGCACAAACCTCCATTGGCAGGTGGAGGGAGGCCATGCACGGGGTGCATGGGGCTGGCTTCAACACCCCGTCGCCCTCACGGGAGCGGAGAATTCTACCACTGGGCCTGCCGCCACTCCCTGACCCTGGATGAATTGTGAACAGATGGAATTCTTACACGAGGACATCAAAAACCTCATGAGAAAATTCCATTGTCTTTCAATTTTGTATTTCCATGGATTTTTGAAGCCCTCTGGTAGTCTAGCTTGGGGGCCAGGCTAGAAGAGGTCCAGTACGCCATGCCAGTGGCTGAGTTAGGGGGTCACACCCCATCCCCAACTCCGAGGTCCACGCTCCTAATCACTGCAGGCTCTGTCCCCCGTGCCAAGGATTCTGCTGCACGTTTCGCCGCTGCTTTTTCCAGTTGGATTGTGAGCTTTCTAAGATGCTGATCCTTCCACAAGCTATTTCTACGGCCCAAACCAAAAAAAACAAGCTCGCCGCTCTCCGCCCATGGCAACTCACAGCAAAACCCTACGGCAGAGGGGCTTCAAAGATCTCGTGGAAAATTCATTAGCTTTGCAGCCTGTCTTCCATGAGCTTTTTGAAGCCCCCTTGTGAATACAGAGATGTCCACATGAGTTTACTACGTAACGGAGGTGTCTAAAAGCCCACAATATGGACTGTGTTCCGCCGGTTCTCAGTGAGCAAGTGTGCCAAGAACGTACTTCCCCCGTGCCCCTAGCCCCCCAAAAGTGAGAAAGACCGACTCCCCCTCATACCCAAAATCCAAGCCAAAGAAAACCCACTGAGAGGAGCCGAGAAAGCAGCACCCATCGTGCCATCTTGAAGCAGTGCCTATGGTGCCTCCGGTGTGGTTGGGATAAAGCAAGGCTGTTGAAGTCAAGGGGGGAAGTCGGGACTCTCTACTCCCGTAAATAAAGCGTTTCAGTCGTGGAAACCCTCCAGGGCAGTCCTACCCCATCCCATAGGGTCCCCGAGAGTCAGCGCCCACTCCGTGGCAGTGAGCTTGGTGTTTGGGTTGGGGTAGGAGTCAAATCAGACCCATTTTTTAAAAATCATTTTATCGGGGTCTCGTACAACTCTTATCACAATCCATACAGCCATCCATTGTGTGTCAGGCACATTTGTATAGTTGTTGCCCTCATCATTCTCAAAACATCTGCTTTCTGCTTGGTATCAGCTCCTCATTTTTCCCCTTCCTCTTTGCCCACCCCCGTGAAACCTTGATAATTTATAAATTATTATTATTTTGTCCTATCTTACACTGTCCGATGTCTCTCTTCACCCACTTTTCTGTTGTCTGACCCCCAGGGAGGAGGTTATATGTAAATCCTTGTAATTGGTTTTCCCTTTCTACCCCACCTTCCCTCCACCCTCCCGTCACCGCCACTCTCAGCACTGGTCCTGAGGGGTTCATCTGTCCTGGATTCCCTGTGTTTCCAGTTCTTATCTGTACCAGTGTACATCCTCTAGTCTAGCCGGATTTGTAAGGTAGAATTGGGATCATGATAGGGGGGGAGCATTAAAGAACTAGAGGAAAGTTGTATGTTTCATCGTTGCTACACTGCACCCTGACTGGCTGGTCTCCTCCCCGCCACCCTTCTGTAAGGGGATCAGACTCGTTTTTTAAATGGTGCCTTTCACGCTGTAGCCCACTTGTTGGGCACTGCATTCCTGAATTGATGGGTAATCTTATTCTTCTCTGAAAGCAGAGGAAGAAAAACCCCAAGAGGTCTAGAGACCACCCCAAGCGCCTAAGAGTTAGGGTGCTGGAGCTGTGAGGACCTGCCGTTGCCCCCTGACCCAGGCTCCTTTTCTCAGGCAGAGCGGGGTGTGCCACTTCCGGATGAATCATTGTTTTGATGTTGTTTTGCTTTCAACCCTCTTCCTAACCTCTTGCTGCCCCTCAGTCTCACCCCTCCAGAGGAGCCTGGCTGCAGTTGTGTAGATCCTGCCCAGAGTTCTTACAGTCACATGCCTGTGTGTTTCTTTCTGGAAGTAGCTCCGAGCCACGTGGAACGTGCCGGAAGCCCGCGCATCTCACTTGCGCTGTGTCATGAGCATCTCTTCCCGCGGTCACTCGTCCACCTCAGCATCAAGGTCATCCACGGCTGTGCCTTTCTTCTGGTGTCGGGCTTTTCAAAGAGATTTGGGTGGAAGCTTACTTTGGACCTGACGGCCGTCTCTTGGCTAAGGCCAAATTAGGCAGCTCTCCCATTGCAGGCCTTGATAGCAGAATGGCGCTGGGGCCTTTCAATGCCACTGAATCTTTCCAGGCGATGGTTTTGTCTTCTACCGGCTCAGAAACAACCACCCTCCCCACTCCCTCCACACTTCCTGCTGGGCGGCAGGGGGCTCGGGAGGCTCCGGCCCTGGACTGACAGTTGTCAGCAAGTGATGGGGAGCCGAGAGGAGAGCAAGCGGGTGCCTGCGTGGAGGCGGGCGCAGACCAGAGCACAGCCGGAGGGTGGGTGTGTGCGCGCATGCGGGGACAGCTCTCTGGGCTGTGCTGTGGATCTGAGCTGCTGCCTTTTGTCTCCCCAGCAGACCCGCCAGTGGCCGCCGCGGTGGTGTCTCATTTTAATGACTGCCCGGACTCCCACAGCCAGTTCTGCTTCCACGGGACGTGCAGGTTTTTGGTGCAGGAGGACGAGCCAGCATGTGTGTACGTATCCTCGGGTCTCCTGTGGGGAGGGGTGTCTGAGGAACCCCATGAGAGAGCAGTTACCTCCATAAGGGGGTGGGGGGCAGCGCGGTGCTGAGACTCCTGCTGGCTGACATGCTGGAGGGTCCGAACAGCATGCCGAGGGACACCTGCTTCAAAGCCAGCTCGCTGGTGACTGCACACTTCGATCCCCTAGAACAGGGGTCAGCCAACTTTCGGTCGGCCAACTTTCGAGTCGGAAGAGCTGATCCCATCCCTCGCCACGATTAAAAACTATTCAAGAGCCGTGAACATATTTTTACAAACAAATGAAGTCACCGGTCATACTAGCCTTCAAATGTTTTACACATGACACTACGATCGTTTCATTTGCATTTTCGATTCTACTTTGGTGCCACGTGGACCTACCGAAAGAGCTGCAGGTGCTCTTGAGCCGCAGGTTGCCGACTCCGGCTCTAGAAGAATCCTGAGCAGAAGGGAACTGGATTTCAGCTTCGTGAGGAATCCAGACTTTCTGGAGTCATGGAGGCAGAATGAACCCCTGAAAGTATTGCCCTGAGATTATCTAAAAACCAAAAATATGCCAGGAAGTCTTCTGTAAGCCAGTCATTTCACTTAATCAGTGAAGTGCTGACCTTGGGCATTGGCTTCTGTTAAAGATCCAACTGTCAGTAACTCAAGCGATTAGACAGGAGACGTAAGGGGCAGCGAGGGAGGGCTAATGAGGGAGAGCTTAGAAAGGAGGGGGAGAATCGTCGTCCAACTTGAAGAATACACTCCGTGCCCGTGAATCGTACGGGGAGAGACTGCGTGTGTTTTGCTGGTTGTATTTTTAACATCCCCCAAAGGGAATTATTTTAAAATAATACAATAAAAATGCTAAGGCTTTCAAAAGCAAAGAAGCAAGACCAGCTGGTTAAAAGTCCAGGTTCCAGGGTCTCAGATTGGAGATCCTGAGGCAGAACCCCTAGTACAAGGGCTGCATGTTCAAGAAGCGCTTTGGTGGGGCCCAGGTTCAGGAAGCTGGAAATCCCTGTATCCGGCGTTTCATTGACTACTTGGCATTCTGGGGAGCCAGGTGCTGTGCTGGATAATGTTGAGTAGGTCTCTGCTTCCCAGACTCGTACCAGTCTAGCAAGTAAAATACATTAAAAGATTAAGTCACAACTTATAAGTATAGATGCCTATAGGGGGCATGGTGGGGTTTCAAACCTGGCAAATCTTTAGCCCTCCCCCAGGGGCTTCCTAGAGCCCCACTCTGATCTCCTGAATCAGAATGGGAAGGAAGAATCACACTGATGACACCCCTAATGTTTGCTACAGTTTAGCTCAAGGAGAGCTTCCCAGAGGAGGAGGGGAAGCTGTCGGGCGTGGCCAGATGGGGGACAGCTGAGCAGGTGTTCCAAACCTGGGGTGCCCAGGGGTCCTGCGGTTAGGGATCAGTGCACCTACAGCACAGGTGGCCAAACAGGACACGTGGAGGCTGGAGCTGTCAGTGACCTTTCTTCTCCAGACAGTGGGAGTTCTATCGATTCCGGGCATTTGTTTCTAAAGCATAATGCCAGTAGATGGCCCTGTCCTCAGCATTAGCACTAGGGACGGAAGTGGCTGGCCAGGCTGTTCTGGGCACTGACGGGTTCACTGCACCCCTGGCCTCTGCCACAGATGTAGGAGCACACCCGTGCCCCTGGTATGACAACCAAAAATGTCTCCCATGTTAGCAGATACCTGCTGAGGGACAGAGGTCCCTGGTTAAGACCACCAGCTACATGAAATGGCATTTTGATTAGGTCAAGCCGGTGAACCATTGGTCATTTCTTTGGTTCAACGTGTTAAGCAAACATCAAAAACTCTCAAACCTGATGCTGTCAAGTCAGTGGCAACTCATAGCTAGGCTATAGGACAGCGTAGAACTGCCCCATAGGCCCTCCAAGGTTGTAATGATGGCAGAAACAGGCTGCCACGTCTTTCTCCCCCAGAGACCGGTGGGTTCAAAGGGCCAACCTGTTAGCAACCAAGTGCTGAAGCACTGTAGCCCCTGGCTCCTCACTGCCTCACACTATCGACAGGAAGGTGTGCATGTTGACTGAAAGGTGGCAATGTGTTGAGTGGTTGCTGTGTGGTAAGTGTTGTTCTAAACACAATGCATGTGTTTCACTCCTTCAAGACTGAAATCATTCCTGCTTTGGACGTTTGATTGAAGCCTGTGTTTTTGGTGATGGAAGGCATTTCAATTAAATGGAAAATTGTGTTTAGATCCCATGGGTGTTGAGGAAGGGAGCCCTG